TAGTTAAATGCAAATTGTGTCAATTCCTTGAGTGCGTTGGAGGCCTGTGGTGGAGGTGACACAGCACTTCGTGGATAGGAGGACGCAAGCCGAACAAATAGTGAGGCATGTGCGTTGTTCCCTTGTGCTCCCCCAAAAAAAAGTTCTCATTATGCTAATTTACTTGAGGAGGTGGGAAGTGGGCGAAAAAATCACTTCTTTTCCCACTTAAAGGTGGCAGTGGTGGTGGTGGTAGAGGTGATTTTGTTGATGAAACGTGAAAGATCAAATTTTTTACGTGACAACCGTTGATTGTCTCACTTATGGAGAGGCCTTAATCTTCTACATTTGAGGGAAGAAGAAATTGGTGTCACATTTCCTACCTTTTCCCTTCTAAAATGACGAGATGCGCTACCTTTTTTTCTTTCCTCTTACAACTATTAATGTCAAAGCATTGTAAGTTGAGCTGAGACTACGGCAGTCAAAAGTCCGGGGTTTCAAGAAGTCACCCCTTCTCTTCTCATCTCTTCTCTTCCTTTTCAGCATTTCTCTTATGTGCTAAACTAGAGAATCAGACCACCTTTTTGAAAAAGAAAAAAATTATGCTTCTCTCATTATGCTTGTGACCTTTAGGGACGATTTTGAGGTGTGGACTCCGTAGTTGAATTAGCAAGATGGACGAATTGTCAATTGTGTGTTTGCATTGTAGATACGGTGGGCTGTGGTGTGCCTGAAGAGTGCTACCGAATTTGTGGAAATCGACACGGTTGTAGTGACTTGGCCTACCCACGATTGGTCATGGGTGTGATGCCTAACGGTGAGTTGAGGATCTTTCATCGCGCCCTTCCTCCCTCTCTCCTTCTCCTCCCATTGTAGTCTAGACCGCTTTGACTGCACTAATGTTACTGACCCACCTCTGGTTACTTTTGTCTGTAAGGCGTTGCCTTGGTGTAACGATTAAAACACACACTGAATGCCACATTTGGAAGGCGGGACAATGAGGCCTCAATTCATGCGCGACTTTTTTACAGTTAAGAATTAATGTAAGTAGTGTATCAGTAGTAAGGTGATATCTGTGATATCTGTTTAAGTGCATTACTTATGCATAAATTATCAAATGATCAACTATTTTCGGTCATCTTTGGTTACACCTCACGACTGTTCACGTGCTTTGTTTTTTTTTTTCTTTTACTTTTCAAGAAGCTTAGATGTGTGCTAGTCTACCTTCCCTTTCATGTACCTTTCCACTTCTGATCGAAAAAAAAAGAAAGATTTTGCAAAATTTGGTGGACATAAGGGGAGGATTTGAGGAAGATCTCAAATTGCCTTGGTAGTAAAAAAAAAGTGTGCGAGATTACCACACTGGAAATAACTTTTAATGACATTTAGTATGTTCGATTAAAAAATGTGGACATTGCCGAGTACGTGGGTGTGAAATGACTGATTTTTTTGATGTGTCAAGTCATAAAACAGTCTGCT